GGTATTAATACGCCTGTATAATAAAGACTGTATGCTAGCCTGTGTTGCTTGGCAACCATTTTGATGTCTTGAGGAACTATATTGCTTGGCGGAGGAATGAATTGAATGAATGGATTTGTTTTCCATAAATGATCGCATTTTATGTTGCTGTGTTTTTATTTTGAGAGAACCCAACAGGTAGTCTATAGTAATCATTTTAGTAAAGGCAATAAGCCACTTGAGGCCTTGTTAACAGTGCTTTTAGAACAGCTAGGGGTACAAAAACCACTGTAAACCACAGCCTCTCTTGGCTTATTGCTCAAGCACAAGACATCCTCATCAGACTATAGGAGGTCGTACCATATGGTGTGCGTCTTGGTCCAGATGCCAGCGCGCCCCAGCGGGTTGGCTTCGTCGTCGGTGGACTCGCGCTCCTCCTCGGCCTGCAGGCTGAACTGCCTCACGGCCTGGTAAACTGTCATGTTGTAGGGCAGCAGGTGGTCACCGATGTAGAACTGTAGTCTGTGTCGCACGCTGCCGGAGTTCAGGAACTGGGCGGCCTGGGGATAGGGAATCGGAACATGATTCATAAGAAGGTGCAAGCTATGGTTGGTATTCAGTAAAACACATCCATGAGTATGATAATCCATCTAGGAAGAAAAAAATGTTTTGGTCAACGTACCAATGATTCATCTATTTCGTCGTCTGAACCATCATCGTCGCTATCTTCATCCTCCTCTCTGATTCTCCCGTAACCTGTATCGAGTGACCCAAGTGAGTAACCCAATGAAGCATTTACACCAGCATTTATTTATTTCCCCATCATCTGTTTACACCAGCATACACGTGACTTGATGTGCATGCTGGTGTAAGGGCAAAAAGATTCATGGCTTTATGGGCGTTTTGGCCATGCTTAACGGATTACACAGTATGATGTAAGAGATGAAAACCAGACCATTTTCACAAGGTGAGCGTTACCTCGGACCACCAGGTATCTCTCGATAGCCTGTACCAGGGCCAAGGGGTCAATCTTCACCGGGCCGCCCTTCCATTGTTTCACATTAGTGCAATCTGGGTGTCTCTGAAGCTGACACTTCAGCTGGTGAGTGTTGAAGAACTTAAGTGCTTGCGAGCCCCTGCGGATGAACAAAAACAAAAAACCCATTAACAGACATTGAAAGGGTGAGAACCACACACACGCATACAGATAAAAGAGGGAAAGTAAAAGAATGCCACAGGCGGGAGTGTTATTTAAACACTCAAGGTGAGCGGTCCCACTGACCTGCTGCCGCTGCCGTTGCCACTGGGAAAGTCGTGCACTTTAACAGGGAACTGCTCCATTTGGCTCAGGCAGTTGTTCATCTTGTGCACCAGCGCCAAGAGAGGCGCGTTCTCTGATGGCTCCAGACGACCTGCAGGCTCCATTCCGGGAAGCTAAAACAGCACACAGTATGGCACAACATAAGCTCACACAATCAGCCTTCAGCCTGGCTTCGCCCAACTGTAAACATGTCTCAGCACAACAACTGAGCAAAGTTTTCGTGCCAAATTTCTACAATATGAGGAATTTGTACTTTTAAATCGTTTTCAGGGTTTGGTTCCTGTTGCCAGAAGCCCTGCATCGTAGGGCTGGGCAATATATCGATATCGTTATACGAGACTAGATGGATATCGTAATATTGTCGTGATATGGCATAAACGAAAAAAATAGGCTTAACCATGCGGTTATTTTATATAGACTATTTATTGAATTACCAGAAAACATGCTATATCGTCCGATATATTGTTATCGAGATATTAAATGAACTTTATCGGGATAGAAGATTTTGGCCGTATCCCACAGCGGATGATATTTTTTCCTGCTCAAACTACACTAAAAACATTGTAGTTGCCCTCACCGGACAGCCGAAGAAGACGTTGAGGAACCTCTTGAGCCGCACGTCGCGGCCCACCACGTCGCGGTCCGTGTTGGAGGTCAGGTAGAGCAGCAGCTGCTTCACCAGACCGCTGTGCTGGATCTCAAACGACGACACATCGGACTCTGACACGATGCCCGAGATCTCCACGAGACACTCCACGCCTCCATCCACCTTCAGATCAAAACCCCACATAGCGGACTCTCAAGTACTCGCTTTTACTTTTTTAACCACGTTGGCATTGTGATGGGTGTGATGGTGGCTGGGTCTCATTTACCTGCATGTTGAGCTGCTCCGTGGCAGCGCAGAGTCTCTGGAGAACGTTGAGTGCGGGGTTGCTGCCGTCCACGTTCTCAGAGTTGAAGTAGCGCTCCACGAACTTGCTGGCTGTTTCTTTAATCCAGGCCTTGATCTTGTCCCTGGAAAGATTTATACATCGCTGATTAAACGGCGAACCCGACATTCGCAGAGATCTGTTTTTTTTGGCCGTACAGGCCATACACGGCTAACAAACTCAGCATAAACGTGGTACGGCTACAGCTGTACCTGTTGTTTGAGATGGAGTCTTTAGGGAGGCGCCCTCGCCAAGCCACTGACCCCGGCTGTGCGTGAGGGCTCAGAGTTGGCGCTGTTGGTCTGGGCTCCCAGCTTGCCCCACGTCTTGGGATTGAGACTGGCCAAGAAGGACGATTTGGGGGACTGAGTAGTGGTAGGGCTCTTTGCTATGGGGAGCCAAATGAGATTGCTATGTTAAAAAACGTAGAATACTAATAAACCAACAACATACTTAAATCAGAACTAACAAATCCAAACCACAACTGACTACTTGTACAGTACTGCTGGGATTCCTTTGTGGGTATTATTTGCTTGCAGTATTGTAAAGCCAATGTTTGACGCTAATTGGCAAGTAGTGGAAAGCCTTACCCTGATTGTCTACTTTGTCTTCATCTCTTGGTGGAGAATACTTGGGTCTTCTAGGTCCTCGTTTAGGTAGCCGCTTCCTCTTGAGGACATCACTTAACCTCCTTGAAACCAGTGAACAGTAGTGTGAGTAAATGGTAGTGTGAGTAAACAGTAGTGTGAGTAAACAGTGTTCCACCCACTGTGGAAAAAAAGCATGACGAAAGTTGCACCCCTCACCCCTGTGGACTGAGGTCCAGTGAGTCATCCATGCTGTGTTGGAAGCTGGGTGAGCCCAGGTCGGGGGTCGCATTAGTGGCGGCCGTGGTGGATGCGGTGCTGATGGTCGTAGTGCACAGACTGGCGGTGCCACTGGTACAAGCCTTGGGAGGACTGGTGACCAGGAAGCTCTCAGACTCTGCCAGGTTCTTCACCTGATGCATTACACCTGTGGAGCAGAGAACAGGACGTTGGAGAAGTCAAGCACTGACAACACCTTCAAGCAATACAAATTAAGCGACATTACATGAGAGGGTGTGCTTTACCGTCATTATTGGCATGACCGTGATGCAGTTAGGAACAAGTTCCGCAAGCACGCATTACTGAAGTGCCAACGATGACAGTAAAGCACACCCTTGTGTAATATTGCGATTACACCAACAGTTACCAACTAAATAAATCTAAACATAGTCATATTGTGGGGGCAATTAGCTCTAATAAAAAATCTCATAAGTTTCCCTGGAAATACAGAAAAACAATTATGTCCCAATACTCATAATCACATTCTAAAGGTCTAGTTGACCAATCAGGTTGCTCAGTTTAATTATACCTATGGTATACCTATAATAAACACAAAGCACAGCTAGCGTGATGCAGTTTGTTAAGTCTATATTGTAGCAATGATGTGGCAAAGAATAGACAAAAGCTCAATGGGAAAATGTTTGGTAAGAGAATGTTTATACAAGACTATTCATTTGGGATAGAGGCCTAACTTGGAGCTTATTAGTATACGTGGTTAGGTCTGGCATCTCAGCTCCCACAAACATGCATTAACCGGATCTGTCATGAATTGTAAATGCTTTTATACTGATTACAAGAACAGAACGGCAGACACGATCTTGATAGTTACGTGACTGATGACTGTTGAAGTTGGTTTACAATGGAATAGATGGTGGATACCACTAGATTGGGGTTAGTTGTCTGTAACTATGCATGCTTGTGGTGTTGGGATTTAATAAGCATGGTCAATTAAACGTTTTTCACAGGGTAATGGGTTGAACGCATGTTGGTAGGTATATGAAAAACCCCAGCCAACCGCTGAAGGAGGTAATTGCTTGTCGAGATTACTTTAGATTGTCCCCTCTGGGAGAAGACGACCATAAAAATACTGTCAGCGCAGTATTGATTACCTTCTCTTCTAAAATAGACGCTGAAGACGTCGGGCAACTTCTGCATCAGGATCTCAGCCATCTGCAGAGACCCCACTACAATCTTCAGATCCAGACTGGACAGCATGGAGGCAATGTGACTGTGGGGAGGAAGCATAAACATTCAGTGTAGTATAGCTTGGCTAGTCTTAAGCATAGCTACAGCGCCTTGCCTTTATACAGATGATATTTGTTTATATTTAAAAACATATTTTACACTAAGACCTAATCAACATTTTTTATGACACAATTGGTGAAGTTAAAGCACCATCCTTTAACAGGGATTTTTACCTGCAGATGGCAGCAAACTCAGAAAAGCTTGCGTGTATTTTCACTGTAACGCATTACATTTGTGCATCCGATGGAAACATGGAGCACATTTTACCTGGACACAGAGTGGTTTCTCAGGACATCCTTCAGCAGGTCTGCATCCGCAAAGTAAATTATCCTGAGAATGGCTCTAAGGCACTTGTGTCTGACGGCGGGGCCAGCTGAGGAGCTGTACACCTCGTACAGGACACCAAACAGGGTCTTGATGAAGCACTTGGCCAGCTCGGGGTCATCCTTCATCAACTGGGCACGTGCATCCTCCCGCCGCACCTCTTGGTGACTCCCTGGAATTACAAATATAGTGGTATGAATTTGTGCACTGTTGTTGTGAACATCGTTTTTGCAAAAGGAGGAACAGAACTAGGACGGAACAATACTTCAATATTATCATTTATGTATATGACATTTGGTGTCTCAATACCGTGAGTGCATACATTTTGAGCATGTGTGGTGGTCCCAGTGGGAATCCAACCCATAACCCTGGCAATGTTAATGCCATGCTCTTCCAGTTGGGCTAGTTGTTTGTCTTTTAATGGTATTGTCACGAAATGAAGATATGGACTTATCGTGATAGCCAGTTTTAGTCTTAATGAATTACGATGAGAAACAATGCCCTTAAAATGATAAAAATATGAGATATGAAACAATGGAGAGAAAGGGAAACTAGTTTTAGTCTGATATTACATTTCCATATACTTCAATGTAATGACCATCAGTTATTGATACCGTACATTTTTCCATATCGCACAGTCCCAGACAGAACCCTATCCCCAATATCATTCAAATTAGCTTTCTGCAACCATGTTTTTTTTAATTTCTTCCTTTGCAAGCTAAAAAAGACGTGTAATGAGGCAACGCACTAGTCATGATACTCTGGGCCTGGGCTCAGCCTTACCTGTATTGGGATTAGCAAGAGGATTGGGTTTCCTCTGGATTCCACGTGCCGTGCCTGTGTCTTCATTGATCTGCTGCATAGAGTTAAAGTCAATGGTGTAGACACGTCCCAGGGTAGACAAGCTGATCTCATCCTCTCCGTTCTGGTGTGCCGTCTGCAGGAGTCGACAGCCACGTTTAGCCACCACGCGTCACTGTCACTTATTGTCACTAACTAATGAGGTACACGACCGCTAATGTACGCGAAGCACGGGAAACTATGGGCAGCGCATTCAGGACATTTAAGAGCCCTCCCAAATACTGGCTGCAAAGCAACAGGATAGGTCGTCTCCAAACCAATCGATTATTCATCGCATCTTAAGTACATTTTGGAGAAACGGTGACCGTCTGAACACAAAATAAGCGGTTACTAATCACAGCCATTTATTCCCACGGGGAATGTTGCCTGACATAACTGAATTGACAACATTAACATTTCACCATATGACCACATCTACACAACGCTTTGCTGATAAATAACGTCCATCTAAAAAGATGCATATGTTGGCGATATAAAGACACACATACCTCGATGATGCGGCTGTCGATGCGGTTGTAAGGGTGCCAGAGCCCCCGGTCATCTCTCCACTGCCAGATGGCTCCTTCGGTGGCCTGAGCACTGCCCTTCTTCAGCATGACGTCCACAGCAAAGATGCCCTCTCTTGGCAGGCAGGGCATCAGCTCACTTTAGAAACAACAGGGGTCGGTCAGGAGGATGCCATATGCCAACATGTATTCTAGAATACATACTCTATTTAAAAACACCATTGAGCACCAGATGGGCGGATTAGGTTATGATCATGGCTGGGAGGGCACAATTGAGACCATGGATTATATCTTAGTATAAGCAGCCAGTGGATACATCGCCTGGTTGCTGAAATGCCTATAGTAGCATTTGGAATATGTAGCATGTTCATTTGCCGTTTATCTAAACCTTGCATAACTCCTTCACCGCAATACAAGCACAATGTGAGAGTTAAAAGGACGATGACGAATGATGATTTGATACGGCTCTAACCAGCAAAAAAAAATTCAATAGCTATTTTCTAGCCAGGGGCAACCACATTTCAAAAGCTGAACATAACAGAAATGGAACATGCATTTTACAACGCTTTCAGATGAGCTCTGCATGTGTGAGGGGCTCAGGACAACAGAAAGGACACTGTATGTTGAGATGAATAAGTGCTTTATAGTGTTACCATATGAGGGAGGTGAGTTCATAGAGCTCTTGAGGGCTTCGGGGTACCAGGTCAATTTGCTCCTGGCAGCTACCGTTGGATGCACCACACAGAAGGAAGCGAAGGGTCTCTGCTATATCTGCACAGCACAGTGACACACAAAACCGACAGATGTTAAGTTACATTCTCGCAGGTCAAATGGTAACTAGCACTGTGGTCATGAGAACAACAAGGGAAACCATTTTCAAACCTTAATCATTATTTCTAGAGCAAACATGTATTATTTAATCAGTAGGACATTCTAGTGCATTCTAAAATACTGACATGGAAAATCTTCCCAACGCAAGTCCCTTGCTTACATAACCTACATAACAAGCATAAATTAAATGACTTTTTAGATGCGTAACTGAATATGGACACTTGATCCACGCTTAGTTACCAGACGAAGGACTGTCTGGCCAGTGCCCGAGAGCGGCTATGCTTGAGAGGAGAACAGACTATGACTAAGTGGCCGAGCATGTGTGTGTGTGTGTGTGTGTGTGTGTGTGTGTGTGTGTGTGTGTGTGTGTGTGTGTGTGTGTGTGTGTGTGTGTGTGTGTGTGTGTGTGTGTGTGTGTGTGTTCACACCAGTGACAACACTCACTCTGCTTCATGAGCTGCACGGCCAGGCAGGGGCAGTTGGAGCACATGAGGGAGAACATGCGCACCACCATGATGAACATCCCCGAGCTCAGCACCGGAGGGGTCACCACCAACAGCTGCTGAATATTGGTCAGCAGATCTGGAGAGGCCACTTGCTGCAGCAGGTTCTAGATGTATAGACACACGCACACAAAGAACACAATCAAGGAGAGTGGCCCAGAGGACAAAGCAGAACCAACACACCCCATGTACAACACGGTAGGAGAACTATGAATAGGGGCACGGGGTGACGCATACCTCCTCGTGTTGAAAGTTGTCAACCAGTCGAGCGAAACAGAGACAAGTGCTTTCAACGGATTTCTTATCCTGGAATGGGAGAACATAACTGATCAGTCACCGAGCTAAATGCATAAAAACAGGCCAACTGTATCAGCAAACGTGCCGGTGAAATTATAGCAAATTGCTAGTACAAGCTATGTGTATGCCTGTATACGAGTGTACTTCAACTACAATGCATTAACAGATTAAATATGAATCATAGTGTAGCTTCGTGGCCGCTTAGGTGCTGGTTTCCTCTGGCGTGAAGGGTACCTGATGAGTGAGTCTCTGAGTCAGCAATGGTAAAGAATCAGCAACAAAGTTGAATTCATCGGGTGTGATGCTCTGGCAACAGTTGGCTGCAATGGCCAGGGCATTCCTCTGGGCATTGATGCTGAAGAACTCCAAGTACAGCAGGCAGTCAGCGAGCCCACCCTGTGTAGGAAGAGACGAGCACAAAGATGACTAAATACATGGCGACGGTGCTGCATGACTTTCTGACTTCACCGCAGAAGTCCTTTCCCTTGGTTGTGAACCAGGACAAAACTGACTCATTACTGTCAAATGGCAGTGCAAACAGAATGATTGCCATGGTGTGGGGCAGGGAGGCAAATCAAATAGATATAGATATTAGGGATGTCCAGATATGATTTCAAAGACTCTGTATTAAGGTTTTTTATTTACTGATCGATATTGGCTACATTGAGAACAAACCTAAGCTCGATCCTTCGTTTTACGTCAGCTGTCACACGTGTTGTTAACAGAGAGCATAATTTGTGGCAGGAGGCAGAAGCACAATTTGTGGCAGGACGCGGCTAAAATGTCGGCAGAGTGGAAATCTAACTGTGTGTCTGCCGTCTGCGTGCCTCCCATTCCGTCGACTATCTTGACGGCTGACCGTTCGTCAAAACCACTTTGCACTGGGCGGATGCATCGCTCGGGATCCAGGAAAATGCAGTGTCGAATTTGGACATGCGACACATTCAATATATTAATAATAAACTTTTAATAGAAAACTAGCGCACACCGTCAATTGACGTCACACCGTGTTGGACTGCGGGTAATGTAGTCCTCTCTTACATACGCAACAGCGGCTCTTTTAAATGCAGCGGCTCGCTGACTGCACCGACACTTTTAAGTGGAATTGAGATTTCTTTTCATTTTTAGTATACTAGTAGTTTTACTATAATGCTGTCATTTGTTGTGAGTGTGAATGTTAAAGTTAAGCTATTATACCACTTCAAAGTGAACTTGTGATTATAGTACTCTAGTGTTCTAGTTTTAGTACAATGCTGCTCTAAGGGGAATTGATAAGAGCTAAAGACATCTTTTAGTTTGTTTACTTGGTTATTTTGTTAAAAAACTAATGAAAACCAATGCCGCACTAAGTGGAATTGTGATAAGAGCCATATCAAAATATTTTTAGCTTTTTTATTTTGTAAATTAAAAAAATATATATAAGCAGCTTAGATGTAGACATTTTCTTAATGCATTGCATTTTAATTGTCAAGCATATACATTGGACTGATTTAATAACTTGAATGTACTTGAAGTGTGCACTGTGCAACTGTATTATCTAGGAAAATACAAGTATCGGATCGGGACTTGGCATCGGCAGATATTCAATATTAAATGACTCGCATCGGGATCGGGGGCAAAAACACTTCATCGCGACATCCCTAATAGATATAGATATATAGTTGTGGGCCAACAGCTCTGTGGTGCAGAAGAGAGGGAAGGAGAGAAAGAGCAGTACTTACAGCCTGTAGGATGGCTTTGCTGTGTCGCCTTGACAACATCTCCAAGGCAGTCAGTGCCTGTTCTGCTACGTCAATAAACTGTATCACCTGAAGCTGCAATAGGTTAAAAGAGTCGGATTAGCATATTCATAGGGCGTTGCCGAAAAATAATACATGCGACAGCTAAGTGAGACCTTACCTTTTCCAGGAAGACAGGAATGGCATCGACCACCACAGCAGACGATCGAGGAAGTGCTTCCATCATATAGGTGAGAGCACGGGAGGCATGATTCATCTGTGTGCATGGAGGAGGAAAGATGGTTTGAATGCAGATGCCGTCATAATGGACAGTACATGTATACACATACAATATCAGGCATACTTACAATATCAAAATTATGTTCCATCTGTAACAACGCAATCTGTAAAAGAAAAGAGACGGCATATTTAAAACAAGGACATGGCATGGGCTATTTCAATGGCATGCAGAATAACTTTATTTTTGGAGTGGGTCTTCTTTTGTTATTAGGCACAATAATAATAATATAAATCACTGAACACATTTACTAAATCACAAACGAGACTTTCATTAGTCGAAATGGGCTTTGCTTCCATTTTACAGATATGAAAACATTTGAATTGGTAATCATGTTTGATGATGTCTGTGTGGTTGCTAGGTTAGCAAAAGTAATCCGACTGGGAGCTGT